CCCTCCCTCCCTTCCTTCCTTCCTTCCTTCCTTCCTTCCTTCCTTCCTTCCTTTTTTGAGAGAGAGAGTGTGTATGCCATCAGGGGAGGGGCAGAGGGAGAAGGAGGCAGAGAACCTTAGGCAGGCTTTATGCCCAGCATGAGGTCCAACAGGGGGCTCGATCTCATGACCTTAAGATCATCACCTGAGCTGAAATCTGGAGTCAGATACTAAACCAGCTGAGCCACCCAGACACCCCAAATTAGAGCTTTCCTTAATAAAATCTTAAATGCTAAAACAATGATGATAGATTCGTTGCATAATGCCTCCCAATTATGTAGCACTTTCACAGCAAAGATAATTTCATGAATCAAAATGCAAAATACAGTATATACAGTTGCTAGTCACAACTGTATATATTTTTATGTTAAAAATTTCTTTTGCTACGTCCAGAGTGAGTTGCGTGAAACACAGCAGCAGTATACTTACTGACAGATAAAGTAAAAATATTGGCAAATGCATAATATCCATATTACACATAACTGACATATTAAAAAAGGAATACTGTTCTCACTGTTCTAAATAAATAAGACCCACAGATTCCAGAAAGTAAAATATGGTCTCCTAATACAGTATGATAACAAACATCTTGAGCTCTGCATGCCCCCTACTGTTCCTACTTTGTAAGACTATATTTGAAAACCAGCATGCAGTCCAACAATTGAATTACAACCATGGCATTAAGCTGCAGGTTGGCAGTTGTCCAATATCAATGCAAGTAGGTTACTCTAGGGCCAGCGCAACTAATAAAGTGCAATTAGCATACTGTTCAAATGCATACAGACTCTGCAGGCCTTTGACTGAAATTCAGACTAAAGAATGAAAAGTGACCATAGCTCTGGGAATAAACACCAGAGGGAAGAAAAATACATTTTTCCCCAGAAAAATGCAGTTGTAGAAAGTTCCTGTAAGTAGGAAAAATGTTTTATTAATTGTAAAAGTGTGTTATTAATATTTATCACAGAATTTCTACATTTACAGGTTATGGAATGCAGAATATATTTAATGCACATGCAGTAATAAATTCAATATTTAAAAAATGTGAGATATATCTTTCTTTATCAGCATATCATGCCAAAGGGAAATTTTGGGGAATGCTGTCAGGTTTGTCAGAAAGTCAAAAGTGAAAGATCATTTGTGGGATGAGCCATCTGGTGGTTATTCTTAAAACTGTCTGAATGCCCCAAAGTGAACCTGAAATAATAAGATGGAAAAACAATCCAAGGTTAAAAGAGAGGATGTTAGTTTTTACAAGCAAAATATTTTTTAAATGACATGAAAATAAAAAAACACTGAGAATTAATTTATATTTGAAAGTTATTTTGTCGTGTGATTTCTACTGGAAACAAATTGAAAATTTCTTTTGATTTTTAATACTATGCTTTTAATATTTGTTTTTTATGTATATGGTATTCCTTTAGCACTGGCCTATTTCTTTTTTTTAATTTAAAAAAAAATTTTTTTTGAATGTTTTATTTATTTCTAGGAGAGAAAGAGAGAGACAGCATGAGCAGGGGAGGGTCAGAGAGAGAGAGGGAGTTACAGACTCTGAAACAGGCTCCAGGCTTTGAGCTGGCAGTCCAGCACAGAGCCCCATGCGGGGCTCGAACCCACAAACTGCGAGATCATGACCCAAGCGAAAGTCGGACGCTTAACCGACTAAGCCACCCAGGCGCCCCTTCTTTTTTTAAATTTTTTAATTATTTTATTTTGAGAGACAGAGACAGAGCGTGAACGAGGGAGGGGCAAAGAGAGAGGGAGACACAGAATCTGAAGCAGGTTTCAGGCTCTGAGCTGTCAGCACAGAGCCGGACGTGGGGCTTGAACCCACAGACTGTGAAATCATGACCTGAGCTGAAGTCAAACATTTAACCGACTGAGCCACCCAGGCGCCCCAGCACTGTCCTATTTCTATCATTCAGTGTCATTTCTCTAAAAGTTTCTGATGTGGGAATTTTATTTTCATAAGCAACTTTTTATTTTAGCTCTATTTATTTTCCCACTCTGAATAGGACAGAAATATACTTAAAAACCTTTTGTATTTAAGCAATAGAGGGAAAGAATGAAAATGCTAATTAACATATATTGAGACATAAGATAGCCAGGTACCATGCTGAGTGCTTTCACCTAAAATATGTTATTTAGTTAATTTTCACAACCTCTGAATTGATATTATCACTCCCATTTTATAGGTGTGAAATCAGGCTCAGTAAAGCTATATAACTCATCTAAGGCCACACATTACTGAATGACTAAAACTCAAATTTGGACTCTAATTCCAGAGCCCTCCACAATAGCACATAAGTACTGTCATCATAAATCCTGTTGCTTATGGAGTGTTTACTGTATGCCAGGTGATGTGCAAAGTAGTTCATCTATGGTCTTACTAAGTTCTAATGTAGCCTGATGAAGTAGGGATTAACTGTTCTTATTTTATATATGGGAAGCTACCTTAGGGAGAGTAAATAACTTGCCCATGATATCACAGCTACTAAGAAATGCAGTCAGTATTAGTTTTTTAAAAATAATTTTTAAATGATTATTTGTGAGAGAGAAAGAGAAACAGAGCATGAGCATGAGCAAGGAAGGGGCAGAGAGAGACGGAGACACAGAATCTGTAGAGGCTTCAGGCTCTGGGCTATCAGCACAAAACCCGATGCTGGGCTCAAACTCACAGAGCTGTGAGATCATGACCTGAGCCGAAGTTGGAGCTTAAATGACAGAGCCACCCAGATGCCCCAAGAAATGCAGACAGTATTTGAGTGCAGGTTTTTCTGATGGAAAGCTCAAGCTCTTTTTTTTTTTTTTTTTACAAATAGTTTATTGTCAAATTAGTTTCCACATAACACTCAGTGCTTATCCCCACAAGTGTCCTCCCCCATGCCCATCCCCCCCTCCCCCCCACATCCACCAGTCCTCAGTTTTTGTCAGCATTCAAGAGTCTCTCATGGTTTGCCTCTCTCCCTTTCCCCCACCATTTCCGCCCTTCTTCTCCCCCTTGTTCCTCCGTCAAGTTCCTCCTAATCCTCCTATACGTGCAAACATATGATATTTGTCCTTCTCTGCCTGACTTATTTCGCTCAGCATAACCCCCTCAAGGTCCATCCATGTTGCTACACATGGCCAGATTTCATTGTTTCTCATTGCCATGGAGTATTCCATGGTATAGATAAACCACATCTTCTTGATCCATTCATCTGTTGATGGACACTTAGGCTCTTTCCATGTTTTAGCTATTGTGGAGAGTACTAACATTGGGGTACATGTGCTCCTATGCCTCAGCATTTCTGTATCCCTTGGGTAAATTCCTAGCAGTGCTATTGCTGGGTCATAGGGGAGTTCTACTGTTAGTTTCCTGAGGAACCTCCACACTGTTTTCCAGAAGGGCTGTACCAGTTTACATTCCCACCAACAGTGTAGGAGGGTGCCCGTTTCTCCACATCCTCGCCAGCATCTAGAGTTCTCTGATTTGCTCATTGTAGCCACTCTGACTGGCGTGAGGTGGTATCTCAGTGTGGTTTTGATTTGTATTTCCCTGATGAGGAGGGATGCTGAGCATCGTTTCATATGTCTGTTGGCCATCTGGATATCCTCTTTGGAGAAGTGTCTGTTCATGTCTTCTGCCCATTTCTTCACTGGGTTGTTTGTTTTTCGGGCGTGGAGTTTGGTGAGTTCCTTATAGATTCTGGATATTAACCCTTTATCTGATATGTCATTTGCAACTATCTTTTCCCATTCCGTTGGTTGCCTATTAGTTTTCTGGGTTGTTTCCTTGGCTGTGCAGAAGCTTTTAATCTTGATGAGGTCCCAACAGTTTATTTTTGCTCTTGATTCCCTTGCTTTTGGGGATGTGTCAAGTAAGAAGTTGCTGCGGTGGAGGTCAAGAAGGTTGTTTCCTGCTTTCTCCTCTAGGGTGTTGATAGTTTCCTGTCTCACGTTCAGGTCCTTTATCCATTTTGAGTTGATTTTTGTGCATGGTGTGAGAAAATGATCTAGTTTCATTCTTCTGCATGTTGCTGTCCAGTTCTCCCAACACCATCTGTTAAAAAGGCTTTCTTTTTTCCATTGGATATTCTTTCCTGCTTTGTCAAAGATCAGTTGGCTGTATACTTTTGGGTCCACTTCTGAGTTCTCAATTCTGTTCCATTGGTCTATGGGTCTGTTTTTGTGCCAATACCATACTGTCTTGATGATGACAGAAAGCTCAAGCTCTTAACCAATAATATTCCATGTTATGATAGTAGGTTATGTATAATTGTCAGGGCTTCATTCTGATTTCTGAAAGTAGTGTTTGGTTTCTAATACAGCTTTCTTTAAAAATAATTCTGTCTTATATATTGATATTTAAAGTTTAGAAAGAATTTTCTATACTCTAAGGTTTATAGGGAGGATAATACCCTAATTTTGCAGATAAGATAGGTTCAGAGAGATTGAGTGGTTTACTGTTGCTGACAAGTGTGGGTTAGCACTTTAACCTAGGTCACCATTCTATACTGCCCTAGAATTAGTCGTCAATTTAGGGCAATATAATTTTGAAAACAAAATAGACTGTGCCCTGATTATGGTTTTTGTAATTGATACATCCTTCCTATCTTTTGTCAGCTGATTTATTATTTCCTTTTTTCTGACATTATGTGTGTTTGCAATTTATATTTCTCGGTATATTCATTCCCCCTACCCCTTCACTGTCTTTTCCTCCTTTTTTCCTTTATTTTAACATTAGGGCAAAAACAAGAAGACCCTATGTCATAAGTATATTCTCTTGCCATTTACCAAAACTCAAACTTACCTAGTGTTAGTTTTCATTGGTTTTACTTTCCAAAGCAAGATGTTTTGAAAAATAGCTTTTGTTAGCCATTTTTTTCCTGCCACCCATTGTCTAGAAGTGTCCTATTTTTTTGGAGAACACCCATTTGGTTAAAAAAAAGTAGAAATCAAGAACTCTTCAAGAAAGTTCATTGTAGACCTACTAGCAATTATCAGTTCTTCCTCATAGTCTGTTTATTTGAAATTAGATTCTTTTGGATCATTTGTTAGTATGGACACAAGTATACCATCATGCCTCTTATCAAGGTAACACAATTGGTCTTCCTCATGTGACAGTACAGGTATGTGTTGATCATCGATAAACTCTATGAATATTTTCTCCTGTGTAAGTCTGGCATGATTTCAATAATTTTTCTTGAGATCTGAACAATGCTAATTGGTGTTAATAGACAAAGTTTCAGTTTTGCACTTATAATTTCCTATGCTAAGGCCTCTGCAAAAGTAGAGAGGTCTTTGAGGAATGATCATTTCATAATTGCTTTTTTCTCGAAGAGGTGCTTTGTTTTGAAAATTAAATTTCTTTCCAACCAAGGGCAAATTTGATTTGATCAGAAGGCATATTTCTATATCATATTTTTATGGCATAGAGTAGTTAAGATTGATTTTCTTATCAGGCTTCTACAACTTAGCCAGATAAGAAAAATCAGGGAATGTAGACTTGTATCTTGTCAGTCTCTATGAGGAAGTAGACTGTAGCAATACATTGAAACTAAGAACAGGATGACTACCTCCAAAATTATGGAAGAAATAATACCTCCAGCTTGATTCCCTATCTATCCAGAACTTTTTGGTGAGTGCCTCCAAGGAGTAGGTTTTTTTCTGGGTTTGGCCTTCAAATGCCCTTTTCTGATAATTTTATTTGGAAGGTGAAGTAGTAAGAAGCCTTTCATAGTGCTCCTTTAAAAATTGTATTACCACTCTAAGTTTTCAAATATTCCCTCTGCTTTCAACTCTTTACTCTCAGCTTATCTGCATTCATCTGCCAGAGCAAGTCTGAGTTACTTTCAGGGACATTAAGATTTGTTGAGTTTGAACCCTACTTATTCTTCTGTTCATATGGTCAGAGCAGATATCTAAGTATTTATTTCCTATTATAACTCAGTGTTCTCTTCAGCAAAATCTATAGAAATTCTACTTTTAGATCACTAATTTCCTTTCTTCTTTGACAATATAACAAAACTTGGCAGGCAGATGGTGTAGGGGAAATGAGCCAATGTATATACATATTCAGCGAATGACAATAGAAATAATTGTTATTGTGGAAGATGGTTTTAGGAGCACTGACTTTGGGTCTAGGCTACCTATATTCAGATCCTGGCCCCAACACTAAAAGGCCTTATATTTGAAGGCTAGTTTTTTAACAACTCAGTGATTCAGTTCCTCATATATAAAATGGCAATAATGATAATATTAGTATCTGTCTCATAGTGAGGTAAACATAAATGTAACTTGTAAATGAGTAAACATTTATGGAATGCACCTGTGCCTGGTACATAGCATTAGTTATGATGATGACTCTGATAATAGCAGCCCTTTTCTAGAACCCTCATTCACGATCATTGCATTTTTGCTAAAATTTCTTGTTTACATTTCTCTTGACTAACCCTTCTACCTCCTGATGTAGTCATATATCATCTATCTACACCATCTGCCCAAATGGACTGAAAGGTCCATCTGCCTTATGACTGATTTAGTAAATTTTAATTCCAATGTAGTTAATATACCATGTTATATTCATTTCAGGTGTACAATATAGTGATTCAGTAACTCCATATATTACTCAGTGCTCATTAGGATAAGTGCACTCTTTTTTTAAAAAAATTTAAGTTTATTTTTGAGAGAGACAGCATGAATGGGGGAGGGCAGAAAGAGAGGGAGAGAGAGAATCCCAAATAGGCTTTGCACTGCCAGCACAGAACCCAGTGCTGGGCTCGAACCCATGAAACTGTAAAATCATGACCTGAGCCAAAACCAGCAGTTGGACATTTAACCCACTGAGCCACCCACATACCCCAAGATAAGTGTACTCTTAATCCTCTTCATCTGTTTCACCTATCCCCTTACCCTGCTCCCCTCTGGTAACCATATGTTTGTTCTCTGTAGTTAAAGAGTCTGTTTTTTGGTTTGCTTCTTTTTTTCCCCTTTGTTCATTTGTTTCTTAAATTCCACATATGAGTGAAATCATATGGTACTTGTCTTTCTTTGACTGTCTTATTTCACTCAGCATTATACTCTCTAGATCTATCCAGGGATACTTTTTATCTTGCTAAATTTCTAGGAAAATCTTCTTGATTTTCAATTGGAACACTTATTAGGTGCATATGCAGTACTATGATACTTCTTGTAGATTGTGTGGCAATGGGTCTCAGTCTGTCTTTCAATCCATACTTATATTTCAAAATGATGCTGTTTAATCTGAAGGTCAGTATGTCTTCATTCTCTTTGCTAAAGAAGCAATGATTTGTATTTAACGTGGAAAATAAGATGAAACTTAATTTGGAAAATCATTCTGTAACTCTTTAATTATCAAGAATTTACCATCTCAGGTGCCTTGTGGAAAGCCAGTCTGTTAAAAGTGTGTTATAATTCTTATTACTCTTTCTCATTAACAAATGTCATGGAGGTATGATACATAGTACAGGTAACACTGACCATCTGGGCCCAGCAGAGCTGCTTAGACTAACATGGCTAAATCATTTGTCACTCTTGGAAACTGGAATATATAATGTAGGGGAAAATTTGACTTTTCCTCTTGAAATGGTTAACATTGTGATTTTTTAATGCAATAAATGATAGATACTTTTATCAGATATTCTGTTAGGCATACTTATTAAAATAGATAAATCTGAAACATACATTTTCAGATATCTTTGGTTTTAAATTACTGCTTAGATTTTGATAATTAAATTTCTGAGAACCCTAATCTTATATCTTTGTCTTCACAGAACAATGAAAATGAAACTGCCCTACACTGTGCAGCTCAGTATGGACACTCAGAAGTAGTTGCTGTTCTCCTAGAAGAGCTCACTGATCCCACCATCAGGAACAGTAAGCTGGAAACACCTTTGGACCTGGCAGCACTCTATGGACGACTGAGGGTGGTCAAAATGATCATCAGTGCACACCCTAACTTAATGAGCTGCAACACTAGAAAGCACACACCACTACACCTTGCTGCTCGTAATGGTCACAAAGCAGTTGTTCAGGTGCTCTTGGAAGCAGGAATGGATGTGAGCTGTCAAGTGAGTCTTCTTTTACCTACATTTTAAAAGTGATGATGCTCTTGCTTTGCTTTGAGATGCAGATGTTAAAAGTTATATGTAGGAATCTTATCAATTTTTAATTAAGTTGTCCAGAAATATTTTTATAACTACTATATTCAGGACCCTGTGCCACACACTTCTGGGAAATATGAAGAGATATAAGGCATAATTTCTAAGCTCATTCTAATTTTAGGGCTGTAGGAGTGAAAAATTATTACTAGAAGCAGTTGTGTGTAGTATCATTAGTAGTTGTTTCCTTTCTCCTAGTGTCTAGCACATAGCCTGACACACACTAGGAATCCAGTCAAAGTTGAGTGAATCAATGAATGAATCAATTAAAATTCAATTTAACATTTTTGAGTGTGTACTTTGTGTTTAATATGTTGACACATTTAGAATCCCTTTTTCATAGCTCCCCTGTGGGATTGAGAACTATAAAGTTCCAGTTAAGAGATGAGGAATCAGATTCAAAGACTTAAGAAGCTTGCCTAAGGATGCATAGCTGATAAACCTAGAATATGAATTTATATTTACTGATTAAAGTCCAGGCCTCAGTAGTGTACTGTCTGTACATGATTAATGAAGGAAAGATCACTCTGCCTAAGGGCAATCAGAAAGAATTTTATTGGAGAGTTATGATTTGAGCTTCAAAACATGGATAACATTTGGATAGCTTTTATTTCTCCACAAGGAAAGAACAACCTACTTTTTTTTTTTAAGGGCAACCTACTTTTATTATCCGTTTCAAGTGAACTCCAGTTCCAAGGTTACCTTTTTTTTTTTTTAAACCATTTTTCTCCCATTTTATTACTGTTTTTTGTCTCTCAACTCAGTGGCAGCATTTTTATTTTCCAGAGACCCTTTTGGTTCCTGTCGGATTGTATCTTTCTCCCCTGTTATTAGTATGCTATTGCTATATAACAAACTCTCCTGGAACTTAATGGCTTAACACAGTAACTACTCATTTAGCTCATAATTCTGTGGGTGGTGATTTAGTCGGAACCTTGGTAGGTAGTTGTGTTTTGGCTGGGTTCTCTCATGTGTCCAGGGTTAATTATAAATCAGTTGAGTGGCTCTGCTATAGAATGTTGCCTGGGATAATGGGTGAGGCTGCCATGTGTCTTTTATGATCCAGCAGGCTTCCTTGGGCTTGTTCATGACAGTGAACATGACAGTGATATGGTTCTATGTGCATGCATGTGTACACATGAGAGAAGGAAAGGAAAGGAACAGGATTATACAAGGTGTCTTGAGGTCTAAGCAGCCTAAGCTGGGAGCAAGCACACTTACTATCTTTTCTGCAGTGCTTGATTGGCCAACAGTTCACAAAGGCAGCCCAGATTCAAGGGTTGGGAAAACAGATTGTACCCTTCAATTACAAAAGGGTGCAAATTGTAAAAGGGGTATGAATACCGAGAGGGAACGAATGTGGCCAGTTTTGTAACACTCCAAGTGGAATTAGTGTTCAAACTTGTGGGGTTACCTTTTCCTAGGACTTGTTTAGAGGCTGAATCTTGTGTCTGTCTCTAAGGCATTTTTCACTGAAGTTGTAAAAATCGTAGGCCTTCCAATCCTACGTTTCAGGCTGGTACTCTAAAACAGACTTCTAATGAGAGTTTTGCCTGTATTATTTAGTTATTTAGATATTTATAAAACCTTTTTTTAAGTGTTTGTTCATTTTTGGGAAGAGGCATAGGGGCAGAGAGAGAGAGGGGGCAGGGGATCTGAAGCAAGTTCCATGCTGACATTAGATAGCCCAATGCAGGACTCAGTCTCATGAACTGTGAGATCATGACCTGAGCCAAAGTCAAATGCTTACCCATCTGAGCCACCCAGGCACCCTTATAAAATGTTTTCTTAATTTTTTATTTATTCTATTTTAGCAGCCTTGAAAATCAGCACAAGAATTTTTCTAGCCTTCATATTTAAAAAAGCAACAATCTTCTCCTCGAGATAGATATATATTTACTATTATAGGTGACTTATAAAGTTACTCTCTAGAGGTATGTTTAATGATAAGCTAGATGTTTATTTTCTTTATGTTGAATTTCTCTAATCTAGAATTACTACTTTCATAACATTTCTGGAATACTTCTAAACTTGGTGGCTCAGAGTACTTTATAACCAAGGACTTTACTATGACTGAGAACAGTAACACACTTCATACCCATGCCCAAGATCTTTTCATATTTTGTACTAGATGACATGGCCAGAAGAGAAAGAGTCTGGATTCAATTTTATATATGTATATGGCATATCTTTTCTTATGCAAAATACTACTTACTGTATTTTGTACTTTTGGAGAATTAAAGGTAAATAAGATCTCTGATGACATTAAAATAAATAGTAGGGCAAGTGCTAAGGAGATATGTGAAGCAAATATAGATTGTAAGATGGAGGACTTGAAGAGACATTGATAGAGTGGTATTTGAAGAGGACCTTGAAGGTCTTTAGGATATTTAATTTAGATATAACTTAGCTTGTAGATGTGCATTATATGGTCAAAAGGGTGTTTTAAAATATTGAATTCGAATGCTTATAGATGGGATATATATCTTGCAAGGTCCCAGCCTTTCTCTACCATCATTGCCAGATTCATTCCTTTAGATTTTTTACTTTGCCCAGACAGCATTTGGATTTGTTACTCATATATCAGCTGAAAAGGGCACTGTATGTTCAGACCACTATGAACGCTTGATCAGAAGCATCAGATCTGGTACCTAATGCTTACTCTATGATTTCATCTTGAAGGTTTTCTAGAAGTAGAGCTGACAGCATATTCTAAAATATATCTCAATGAGTTGAATCTTTCAGCATTTAGTTAGCCTGAGATGATGTTTTGTTTTTGTTATTATTGCTTTGTTCATAGAAAACATATTTTCTGTTTGTTTTATTGCCTTTTTTTGGGTCAGTGTTTTATTTTATTATGTGATTCAAATTAATTGTCACCAAATTTGACCATCAGATTCACTGCTAAGTTTTTTAATATCAAATTTGATGTTGATATTTGTTGATATCTCACTGGCTTAGTGAGAGTGAAGAATACCAGACAGTAACCTTAAACTGTTTGAATGACTTTAATATTCATTAAATCGCTCTAGCTAACCAGTTGGAAATTAGCAATATTAAAAATAATCCCATTTGGCAAATTACAACAATACACTTTAATTACATTCAAGTCATTATGAATAATTCTTTAAAATTTAGAGATGGCTCTGGAAGATCTTGTCTTTTTCTTGTAATTACAAGTGTTTTAAAATGCATAATTTGTGTTAGTATTTTATGTAGAAGTTTTGGTTTCTGCTTCATTTCTCTATGAGCAATTTTGTATTATAATGCATATTTGAACTAGTGAGAGAATTTAATTTCTGTGTAGGTGAATTTCAAATTATATTTATGTAAAAACCCTTTAGTCCTAAGGGATTTCTTAATAAAGAGAATCTGTCATATTAAGATATTAAGAAAATGGGTTTTAACTGGCAAAAGTTTCTTGAAATTAGTAATATTTCTATGGATTTCAAACCTGATTTGGGTGACCAGGTAGAAACTCTAAAGACTATGGAACCTTTTTATGCTAGTGCTTTAACTGTATTGGTTTTAAGTTTCTCTTATTACATTTAAAAAGTTACGGACTAGCAAAATACTAAGCCAATTGGATTTTATTTCAATATTAAAGGAAACAAAAGTAAAATTACAGAAAGTTAATGATAAAGAGTACAAGTTCCCATGCTAGAAACTGTTAAGATGTAAACCTGAGTAAGGTACCATTTTTGTTCTCTAAGTGCTTATAGTGGCAGGAGAAATATGTGCCTAAATGGATAGATTACATTTTAATAATCCATTCACTCTCTTCTTCCCTAGATGATTATTTACAATTTCTCCTTTCTTTCCAAAACTTTAACTCCCCTCCCTGCTAATCTCTCTGTGATCCTGACTTTGCTTTAACTTCACTGAGAAAATAGAAGCTATTATGTATTTGAACCACCACATTTGCCAGTGGGTGTGTATCTGCCTTCTTTCCTGGTGCTTTAAATGAACTTTTTAGGTTTATCCCTAAGGCTGAGTCCTCTACTTGTGCACTGGATCCTCCCCTTAAAATACTATACATTCCCCTCCTCTTAACTTCATCATCCTTATAGAGACACAAAGATGTTATATTTCCCATCTTAAAAAAAAACAAAAAAACCTCTCTTGAACCTACATTTCCCTCTAGCTCTTGTCCTCTTTTTCTGCTCCCCTTCATATGTTCATAACATATTTAGAAAGAGTTGATTTTACACATTGTATCAAATTTCTTTCCCCCATTCTCTCTTGAAGCTGCTCCATCTCTCTCACTCTATTAAGTCTTTGTTTTTCCCTTTGGTGAAGGTGACTAATGGCTGCCATATTGTTAGCTCCAACAGCCAATTCTTTGTCATCATTTTACTTGATTTATCATTGGCATTGACAAAGTAGATCTCCCTCCTATTTAAAAGGCTTTTTTCTTTTGACATCTGAGTCACCAGTCTCTTTTGTTTCTCTGCTTCTTGGTCTTACTTTAGGTAGAGTCTAAGACCTTGAATGCCTTTCATATAGCCTTGCAGCTAGATAAATCTGTTGGGCCTCACAAACCTGTTATCTATGGAGTTGCTCAAGAAATAAACCTTTCTGTTTTCTGTCCTCTTTTGTAAAGTCGCAGCTCTCTGTCCCAAACCAGCCTTTGTTTCATTTCTTTCCAGTAGATTTTTGCACTGTAACTCTGTAAACCCCTGTAATAGTTAGCTATTGCCATTATCACAATACTTCTATACAATAAACACAGAAATCTCAGTAGCATACAATAGTAAGAAATGGCATTTTTTTCTCACTCACAGGTTTGCAGGTCATTTAGGGAATCTATGCTTTAGGCTGTAAGTTAGCTTGCTCTGCTCTATGTATATATTCCCTTTTTCCTGGGACTAGCCAGGACATGGCCTAAGTAAGCCCAACCAACTAGACAC